GGGTTGAGACAGCTAGGTAGGCTGAAAAGAACACCTGGTGTGCGGACTTGTATCCTGGTAAAGAAGGTGGAAATACCTCTAGGGTAGCAGTGGCGGATAAGAGAGCCGCTCAAGGTTAGTTACAACCTAAGTTCGTATTGTAGCCGACTCAATTGCCACCCACCTAGGTTGGTGAGACTTGACTTGCCTGGAAATCAAGCTATTGCTCATGTCGAGTGAGTTCCTACCTCTGGTTGTGAGTCTACGCATAAGGGAGAAGTGAGCATCGGCCTGCACTCCCTTCTGGAGCTGCCTCATTGGAAGAAGTGTTTAGGCTCTTACACTTCTGCTGGGAGTGCCCGTCCCATCACCTTTATGGCACGTTTCGCGAGAAGATGACGAAGAAGGTGTGCAAAGTAGCCTCAACGGCACTGAAGCCTCTTCAATACATTCATGGAAGCCTTGTGTGCCTCTCAGGTTCCGGAAGGGATCGCAGCCTAGCATCACATCTGTATGAATTCTGGACAAGAGCAGAACCCAGTCGCGGCTGACTTGGAACATGGCGAGATGTTATCTCTGGTAAACTAGGAAGGCTTTCTGGGTAAATGACGTGTGTGCGTGGCTTGCGTAGTCACAATGTCTGAGTTGGCCGCCGAAGTCATGTTCGACAAAAGTTACAATTTTGACTTGACGTGTGCTCAAGTAGTTGAACGGAAACATTTGTCAACGTAGATGCCCTTGGTTAAAGTAGTGATTTTAAAAAACAATCCTGGTATTTGAGCCCTGAGCAAGTACACTCAGTCCACATGAATTACTTTACTATTTTAAATATACTACTGTGCAAATTCTACAAGGTTACCTCGACTTCAGGCTTTCGTTTCGAGTCGAATGTGGAAGCCCTATTGCCAGGTCAGGGTAACTTGACAGTATAGTGCTTGAGAAAGACTTGAGTATGATTTGCCAGTTGCTGAAAATCCTTGATAGGCTGCCCCAAGTGGTGCATCTATCAGTTATTTCAGTCAGACATCTTGCAAAATGACAGGCTAACTTTGTCGATGGGGTCTTTGCTTTGTTGCGTTGTTGTGAAAATAAGAGGACTCTAGAAACTTTTCCTGGAAATGAGTACATTTTCCAAGGTCATAGTTCCACACAAGGTTCATAAGATCTGTTCCGCCGTGACGGTCATATGTGAGAAGTATTTTGTGCTCTCAACAGTGTCATCACGAGTAACTACTAGAACTCCGATGTCTTACAATCCCTTACCATGCTTGTTCACAGAATACTCTCTTTTGCTTGTATACTCTGATGGTTGGCAATTAACATCTGCCTAAACAACGTCTGAGCTTTCAAGCAGTTATGCAAATCATTATCTTCCCACAACTTGGACCAGACTCACATCAATGAGTTAGGCATAGAGCGCTTGTCTGGACGCGCCACTGAGTGAAATTATCAGTGAAACAAGACTGAGCAACTGCCGTAACTGCTGTCTACGGATTCGACGAAGAACAGGCGGAGGCAACTGGACACATAGCAGATGAAAGACTTCAATCGGCATATGCCAGGCTCGTTGAGTTTTAAGGTGCCAACTTGCAAATTCTTTACAATCCACTTGTTGTGCTGGAGGATATTGCTGACTTGCTCTATTCCCATGCTATATCGGCCACGATACCGATGACGAGTCCACCAGTGCCTCCTTGACCAGACTGCTGGGAATGGGAGGGAGGGCCAACCGCAACTTCGTGTGGATAGGCCTTAACATTAAGTTATCTACACAGAGTCGACGTTTCTGTGATACTTCATTGCGAGCTGGCCTTTACCCTCACCTTCTCCTTGCCTCCCTCCCCCCCCAGCCCTCACATACACTGGGTTGTCAACTCCACTCCGCTCTATCACATAGATTATCTCAGCCCAAACTCAAGTCTACTCGCCCTAATCGAGAGATCATGCCATGAGAGTATAGAACAAACAGCACCTCAGGTTTGGACTCAAGTGTACCGAGGTGGATGTTACCAAAGTGAGCAAGAGACCTTGATATTCTCTCTACAAGCACGGAATCGCTCGCCGCCACAGGAAGGGACACCAGAGAAAGACTGGATACTAGATTTAGGTGACAACATATTCGTCTCACAGTAGGATAGACGGCAAGTGATAAGAATTATAACGATAAGTATCAATTAATTTCCCCACCCAATGAGAGTGTACTGTTCTTTCCCCCGTATATCTCATGGAGCCATGCCATCCTTGACCGTTTACCACCCCCTATGGCGCTCTATCATGAAGTTCCCATCTCGTTTCCCATGTTTTTGTTTCAATCGTCAAGTCGTTAAAAGTCTTCTCATCGTACAAGTACACGTCGTTCAACATACAAACATTCATCAGACATCGCCCCTTCCTTTTGTTGAGTCCTCGCCACCTCCTCGTGAGGCGGTGTTCTTCATGCTCTTCTTGTCTACCATTATTCATAATATCCATGCATTCAATGGGCGTGCGCAACTATAGCCACGTAAGTGTCGTCTGGGATTCTTTCTATGATCCACAGCGTACGCTCAATTACCTTATCGGCTTGCAGCGAAGGGAATGAACGCAGCAGCTTATTAGGGCTGATAGATTGTTAGCATGTGCAACTCAAGTCTAGAGGACGCGGAAAACATACCTCGGAGAGCTCATGAGCTGATCCCGCATGCCCATCAGCTGGGCTACAATACAGAGAATATTCAGATGGGGCCCGTAGGCGAAGAGAAAGTCCCACAATCTGAGGACTTCGGGAAGCGGAGGCGTACAGGCACATAGCGTCAGAACCGAGGGGAAAGCGTAGATCTCAGCCGTGAGGCCTTTGGAGTGCAAGTAGCCGCTTAACTTCGAGTCGACCGTGGCAAGGACCTTGTCAACCAGCGCCAGACCCTTGTGTACGCCGTCCATAGCGCCGCGGATGTAGCCGGGGCATTCGCGCGTGAGGAGTGTGTAGAACGCGATGAAGGCCTCGGATTCGCTCCTTGCTGCGTATAGAAAAGGCGCGGCCAGCACGTTCATTCCTTGCACGTATGTTCCGGGCTCCGCAGCATGGCTGGATTCGGAGCCTTCTGTGGTCAAGGTGAGGGCCCTGGCACGGTTTCTGGCACCCGGCGAAAAAGCGGGATCTTGCGAGTACGCTGTGGCTGTCGACGTCGATGTCGAGCTGTCCTGCGATATGGAGCTTCTTCCAGTGCTGGGTCGCTCCTTGCGCTGCTCCTCCCGCACATCGTGTAGACGCCAGGCCACGGCGTTGAGGAGGCGAATCAGGCTAGCCTCGCTCACACGTCTCCTGAACAAAGGATCAGTCGTAAGGGTTCGAAAGGTATCGTTGCGAATCTTGGAGTAGGCTGGGGAGGCTCCGCGGTGAATCAGGCCCAAGTAGTCATCGGTCGGGAGAACGGGGGTATCCAGCAGGATGAGCCAGACGTATATACGTAAGGTTGACTGCGTGGCAATGAGTCAGCATTGGTGTATATGCTTGATGGGCATGAAGGGTAATGTTTACCATGCCGTCGCTATCACTCTTGATGCCCTCGCTCAAGATTTTGCGACGAGCCATACCTAAAGCCTCAATTGTCTCTCCTTCGGGGGGACCCTCTTTAATAAGTTGTTGGAGAGACATAGTCGCGTACTTGGGGCTGATGCCCATCATGCTGCGCTTGCCCGTAGCCAGCGCATTTATATGATGGATAACAGGCGCCGGCGCATCGCTATTGGATCGTCCTCGAGTGTGTCGCGCCACGTTGGAAGAAGAGCTCGGGTCGCGTCGCGTAGGAGAGATATTTCGTTGCGTGATTTGTGTCAAGCGTTGCTGCGAGATCAAGGAAGGTTGATGAAGGGGTTGAAGCTGAAGAGCAGCCTTGGAGCCAAGGTTATGTGCGGATTGCAGTTTGCGAAGGCGATGGGTACGCGGAGACGGTGGTGGGAGCAATTCTGTGGTTTTGGCTTGCGACAAGTTGTGCGCCGGATGGGCGAGAGGGTCTCTTGGGGGACTCGGCGGCATCTTTGCGACTGAGGAATTGGACCAGCTACATTCACTAATTGAGGGACAACGGGAATATACGATGGGTTATTGGAAGAGTATTCTGAAAAATTGGCAGGGCACGGTATGAAGAACCGCCAGAAGAGAAAAAAGGGGCAAGACAACAAGCGTAGCGAGGTGACCAACACCTCGTGGGCTGCTATTTTTGGCCCAAGGCGGGGAGGAGGAGGTTGGTGATTGCAGACTCGGTGGTGTAGATGACAAGCATTGCAGGTGTTGGCGGTTTGGAGTTTGTTTTCTGACTAAGGCAAAGCGACTTGTTGCCCGGGGAGAGAGGGGCTGTTGAGGACTCGCGTCGGTCAATTGCCCCGTGTTTTTTCGCGTACCAAATATCGCTGGCGACCAGCAGCTCAACGATTCCAGCGCTGAATGGTCAATTCCAAAATTTTCATGTTACTCATTCTCAGGGTTCTAGTCCAGCCTCGCCGGCCGAAAGTGTGAGACCTCCGTATGGTATGCAATCCACTTTCCGAAATTTGGCAAATTCGTAGCAATGACTCCAATCTCTGAACGAAACAACCGTCAAGAAGGCGAGAACATTGATCATCGAGGCTGGTACCTGGAAAAACGGGGCAAGCAACTGAAAGACTACTGTAGGTATTGTGTAAGGTTAGCTTACTTAATCTTGAACTTCCTCTTCGAGCCACACCGTGCAGGTCCGGGTCGAACCCCCACAGGACGGAACCCTTCCGGAACCGTCGGCGCAGCTGTCCCGAGCCGGTTGCGGAAAATCGTTAAACCTAGACCTCCCCGTCGATTATCCGAGCTGAACGTCTTTCCTTATGTCAGCCTGCTGTTGTCGCAAGCTTGGCGTCATGAGTGCGTCTCTAGCTGTTGGTCCAAGCTGGCCCATGACGTTGGCCATCCGTAACCACATCCGCTTTACGGATCCTCTTAGCAATAGGCAACTCCAGTCTCCAGTCTCTAGTATCCGGAAGGCCAGGCGACTACGGATTCTGCCCACACAATGCAGCAGATTATCCCGGAACCCCATCCCGTGAATCCGTCTGCCATCGTCTTTCGCCTGGGGCCGAGCATCCCCTGTCTCTCTCTAGACTCTTGAGCATCTCGCAGTTTGCCGCCATTGTCGACGGTCTGATTCGCACGTGCAGTGACCACGAGAAAGTGCAGCATCACACGTCCCGACAATCATGGCCATCTGAGATTCTGGTCCGAATCTGTCAAGGACCAGCCCAGCTTCTCATCTCGTTCAAAAGCTTCGCACCACACTTCGTGAGACAAGCAACCAGTCAAGGCGAAGAAGTCTCAGAAGGGTCCAACCAGGTTGAGCATCTCCGCAGCCATGTACCCCACTCTCTCATCACCTCAAACAAGGGTACTATTGCACCATCGCCAAGTTGCAGAAGCTGAACCTCATTGGTCAGCACGCTAGGTACCGTCCCAAATGCGGTAGTTCTTTGGATACTCGTCTCCTCCCCGTGGAAACATGTGTTGCACAACTGGGAACACTTTAGCATTTGGGCATTGTCCCTCACCCGACACTCTGCTCTGATTTTTCATCGTCTCCAGTTTATCACGTCGGTCAACAAGGCAGCGCTTCGCCCGGCTCCATGACTGACGACACATGAGCATTGGCATTCTCCAATTTCTGCAGTCTGGCCAGAGGAAACCCGAGCTTTCCCCTCGTGCTCCTGTATCTCTGACATGCCGCGTGGTAAGCCAAGTTGAGACTTGAGAGAGCGAGAGAAACCACGCAACAATTCCCTCCGAGACCGCATCTTTCGCATGGTCCGTTCCTCCACTTCATCACAGCTGAATACGGCGCATTGTGCATATAGAGTACTTCATCCAATGGCGCTTATTGAAAATCGTACGGACGAGCCCGTCTGATATTACCAATTCGATATCAAATCAGCAAGAGAGCGCAGGTCCCTTGTCTGGTGGGTATAAGATAATTGGGCTCGCAGCATGTACCGACTCCATTGCCCGTCTCCACTAAGCTTTGAATGGCAAAGACTCGATGGCGACATCGCCCCGGTTTCGACATCGCGGGAGGAGTGCGGATACTACCACCACAAAGAGCTTCTGCTGACACCAACAATTGTTGCTATTAAATCCGCGCCATTGAGGGATTCATACACCCCCTGTCAGAGTTTTCCCTCTTTCTCGAGTCGCTCTTGCCGTCGTCGTCTTCTCCTCGGCTCTTCTGCAACGCTCATTTCTTGGCTGCCGCCGTCATCCCGGTGCCACATCTCTTGGCCCATGAGATCCATCGTCTTGTCAAGCAAGAATGCCTTAAGAGCCTCCCTTGGCACTCCACTACCGAAGTTTCTGAAGTCAATCAAAAGCTTGTCTGTCCGCCTTCCTCAGCCTAAGTTAAAGAGCTTGTGATAGTCTTTGAAGAGCTTCGAAGAGCTTCCGAAAGATTTGAAGAGTTCCTGTTTCAGTCGCACAACCCGATCAGGTTGCTCCAGACCACCCAGGCCACACGATACAGATATCTTGTCGCCACTATTGTGTGAAGGGTTGTTGTCTCATCCCTTCTTGTCAGCCACAAGCGCTTCTGTCGCCATTTTCGCACGCCGCCAAATTACGGCTTTTTTCCTGTGTCGGGAACTCTCTCGCTCATCGTTGAGTCGACCATCGTTGTCTCGACCAATTAATGCCCCTTTGACCGATTGCGCAACTTTGCAAGGGCTGTCAAGTAGCGACAATTTCGCACCTCCTGCCCCAAATCGCCACCCCCGTCGAGCCTCCAGGACTGGAAGCGTTCTAGTCACGGTTTGCACCATTAGCTTCTGCCCACTACGCACCCCGGTTCCCATTCCTGCTGCCCTTTCTCGACCGCCAAATCCCACGGCGACCCCCGTGGACCCAGGAGTGTGGCACGGTGACCACCCCCGGTGACTCCTATATAGCCTTGGGACATCTTCGCCAAAAAAGGAGCGAGGTCCTGTGTGCTACTCGTCTCTGTAGTCAAGAGCTCGACAAGTAATTCCTCAGAGTCTCAGCCGGTTTCCGGTCCGATCAACCACCATGTCGAGCACAAGCACCAAGATTGGCCATGGCCTGGCCAAGGTCTTGGGCATCAAGCTCGAGAAGCCCGAGAACGAAGAGATGTTACGCGGAGAGTCTGTATTCTCTGTCCAGTCCTCGGACACATTCGTTGAGGAGGAGCCAACAACGGCTGAGTGGCTCCTCGAACTTCTTCCCGACGGCCACGAAGTCCTTGCATACATCCGCTCTCTCTTCCCCTTCCTCAACTGGATTGGTCATTACAACCTGCAGTGGTTCCTTGGTGACTTGGTCGCCGGTGTCACTGTTGGTGCTGTTGTGGTACCCCAGGGTATGGCTTACGCTTTGCTCGCAAAGCTTGATCCTCAGTTCGGTCTCTACTCATCCTTCATGGGTGTCATTATCTACTGGTTCTTCGCTACATCCAAGGATATCACCATCGGGGTATGTAAATCCTCTTCCAAACCACATTGATACTCTACTAACTGACTAATAGCCCGTAGCTGTTATGTCCACTGTCGTTGGTAACCTCATTACCGATGTCCAGGCGGACTTTCCCCAATACGAAGGTCATCAGATTGCGTCTGCTCTAGCTATCATTGCCGGCGCCATCATTCTCTTCATTGGCCTGATTCGAATGGGATGGATTGTCGACTTGATCTCTTTGACCTCTCTGTCGGCCTTCATGACTGGTTCTGCCATCAGCATCGCTGTTGGCCAGTTAGTCACATTGTTGGGCATCAAGGGTGTCAACACAAGAGAGGCTACCTACCTGGTCTTCATCAACACCCTCAAGGCCCTCCCCAAGACAAAGCTGGATGCTGCCATGGGCCTGACTGCCCTCACCATGCTCTACCTTTTGCGGTTCATCTTCACTAGTCTGGCCAAGAAGTATCCTCAGAAGTCGAAGCTTTTCTTCTTCCTCTCAACCTTACGAACTGTCTTCGTCATCTTACTCTACACCATGATCAGTTGGCTGGTCAACATGAACAGACGGTCAAACCCGCTGTTCAAGATTTTGGGAGAAGTTCCAAGAGGTTAGTGCAATTTTCACTCGGCTAGTATACTGTGATCTAATCAAAGTTACAGGTTTCCAGAATGCTGGCGCCCCGAAGATCGACACCGACCTCATCAGCGCTTTCTTGCCTTTCCTGCCTGCCAGCGTTATTGTGTTGGTCATTGAGCACGTTGCCATCTCGAAATCTTTCGGTCGCGTCAACAACTACACCATCAACCCGTCTCAAGAGTTCGTTGCTATTGGTGTTACCAACGTCATCGCACCTTTCCTTGGCGGGTATCCCTCTACGGGCTCGTTCAGTCGTACCGCTATCAAGTCCAAGGCTGGCGTCAGAACTCCCTTCGCTGGTGTCATCACTGGCCTTATTGTCTTGCTTGCCATCTACGCTCTCACGGCTGTGTTCTTCTACATCTCCAGCGCGTCACTAGCTGCAGTCATCATTCATGCCGTCGGCGATCTTATTACGCCGCCCAACACTGTTTACCAATTCTGGCGTGTCTCGCCTCTAGAAGTCGTCATCTTCTTCGTCGGTGTCTTTGTCACCATTTTCTCTTCCATTGAGAACGGAATCTACGCCACAATCTGCATCTCTGCCGTGCTGCTCCTCTGGCGCATTCTCCGTAGCCAGGGACGCTTCCTCGGAAAGGTCAAGATTCACTCCGTCGTCGGTGACCACGTCATTGGCGAAGACCACCGACAAGTCATTGGTGAGTACGGCACCTTCAACGCCAGCGACAACGCCGCCCGTAACGTTTTCCTGCCCATCGACCACGGCGACGGATCCAACCCCGAGGTCTCCTTGGACGAGCCGTACCCCGGCATCTTCATCTACCGCTTCTCCGAGGGCTTCAACTACCCGAACGCCAGCCACTCCCTCGAGTACCTCACCGATTACATCTTTGCCCGGACGCGCCGCACAAACATGCAGTCGTACGGAAGACTGGGCGACCGCCCCTGGAACGACCCGGGCCCGTCCCGCAAGGCCAAGAAGGCGCAGGCCCAGATGCACGAGGAGGAGAACAGACCGACGCTCAAGGCCATCATCCTCGACTTCAGCTCCGTCAACCATGTCGACCTGACGTCCATCCAGCAGCTCATTGACGTCCGCAACCAGCTCGACCGCTACGCATCCCCCGACAAGGTGAACTGGCACATTGCCTGCATCAACAACCGGTGGACCAAGCGTGCTCTCGTTGCCGCCGGTTTCGGCTACCCCGTCGACCGCAACGACGGCACACAGCACCAGTGGAAGTCCATCTTCAGCGTCGCCGAAATTGGCGGCTCCGAGTCGGCGGCTGCGGTCGCGGAGAAGGAGGCCAACGAGAAGGAGCTCTCGACGCACGCGCGGGGCGCGAGGACTATTGACGAGGAGGCCTTGGGCAAGGACGGCGCATACGACCAAATCGACCCCGTCTCGTCGGGCTCGAGGAAGGGCGGCGCCGGCGCCGGCAACGTTGGTGGTGGCCCCAGGAGGAAGGGTGTCGTTGTCCACGGCCTCAACAGGCCGCTGTTCCACGTCGATCTTACGAGCGCGCTGCAGAGCGCCATCGCCAACAGTGAGGGCAGGGGTATTGTTGAAGAGGATGCAGAGGACCCCAAGAGTCCCAGCACCTCTAGTGATTGAGAGAAATGTGAATGTTTAGGGATGGAAACAGATGTATAGCGATTTTTTGATACCCTAGGTGGGAAATCTTATTGAAGAAAGAAAAAGTCGGTGCAAGATACGAAATTAGGCACACAGAAGATGTTGATGACGATATATCACCCTGTGGGGAGAGCAAGTTTGCGTCTTGCAGTTAATGTTACAAGAATTGAAAATACTACGATCCAGCCATCCGAGTCTCATTTAAGTGATTTGTTGTTCATTTTGTTCTAGGCATGTAAGTACGTAGAAAGGCTCAGCCTTGAGGAATTTATCTGTACGTAACTACCCTCCAGCAGAGGTTACTAGCATATACATCTCTCTTTGAGTTGGTCCTGTCTCAGAACCCGTTGAATTCGCAGAGTAATAAGATGTTTCCTTCGGATGCTTCCTGATGATGTATCTTGTTCCCCGGTGTCGGCAGATA